GAAAATGCATTTAATAACATTAAAAAGTTATTAGTTTAATATTTTTTTTCATTCTACTAATTCAATTCAGTCAAACTTAATTTTAAAGATAAAATAACAGCTCCATTTTAATTGTTATTAATATATTTCAAAAAATTATTGTGAAAAGGCTTTTCTTGCACCTTATTTTAATTTTCATATACTATTATTATTTTTTCTGTCATTTTTCAATGATTTTTTATTTCGATTTAAAATTTAATGTTTATTCTTAAAACTCTGATGGTACAAATTAAGGTGGAGTAGAATATAATAAATGATGATTCTTCTACTAAATAAGAAGATATAACAAAATTGAAAGGGTGAAGTTTTTTTTTCAAAAAAATAGATAGGAAATTCTAGTAAGGTATTATTACGTCATTATTCAATATATTTTTAATATAAATTTTATTTGTTGATGCATTTGTTTAGTACTCCCTTTGTCCCTAATTACTTGTTCACTTTTCCTTTTATAGTTGTCCCTAATTACTTGTCCATTTTGACAAATCAAGAAAGAGCAATTTTTTTACCTATTATACCCTCAATTAAATCACTAATTACTTTGAAAATTGCAGAACTTTTCATCTACTTCATAATTAATAGGGGTAAAATGATAAACTCACTATGTGATTAATTGATTTCTTAATAAATGTGTCAATTTAAAAGTGGACAAGTAATTAGCGACAGAGGGAGTATTACAGTGTTATTTCACATTACGAGATATTTCTTAGACATTTAAGGAGAATGGTACACCGAAATATATATTATATATTAAAGGATCAACTTCATGCAATGGAAGAATTTGTTATTAGCAAATATATTTTAACTTATTTGATAAAAAATATATTCTTCCTTATTTAATAGATGTAAAATTTGAAAAGCTTTATTTTTTTCACAATCTTCATAGTACTAAAACAAACAATAATATTACGATTAAACAACAGAGTAAATATAAAATTAATCAAAAATATTTAATTTTTAATGATCGCGCGAAGTGCGACCAAATTCTCTAGTTTAAAACAAAAAGGTAAAATTTAAATGGGTCTACAATAGAATTCCTAGAAATCCAACTTGAAAAATTATGTTAAAAATGGAAAATAAAAAGTGAAATAAATTTAATTGAGAGTTATCCTTCGTCTGTCCCATTTTATGTGACACTTTTTATTTCTCGAGAATCAAATAGTTTAAGTTTGATCGTAAATTTGCGTATGGTATCTTCAATTTTTTTAAAATGAAATTTATATATTTGTAAACTACGTAAAAATAAAAATATTATAATTCATAATAATTAATAATTCAAAATATTTTAAAGATCTATGAAAAATTTAAGATCAAAGATAAACTAAAGAGAGTAAAAGGGGAGAATGGAAAGTAGAAAAAAAGGGAAAAATGAATATATATAGAGAGAAACTGAGGAAAAAAAGTAAGAAAAGTAATTATTCATGTGGGTTGTTGTATATGTAGAAAGACACGTGTACAATTAATGAGCGACAATGAATTTTATAGTACGATTTGAAATGCTTTGTGTACAACTTTGTAGTGCCATGTTCGTCCTCTAAAGTCTCACTTCTAATAAGGAGTAATATAAATAAGAAGTATAAAATAAAGTTGAATAATTTTACAATATAATTTCTCAATGTTGGATGATCTTTTGAGATATTTACTCGAAAATTAAGAGAAATTTAACGGTTTTGGAATTATAAGACTGTAAGGGGAAAATGGATCAATCCATAGATAATATAAAAAGCATCTATGTGTTATACATAGTACATGTGTCTTTGTGATATGACTGAGGTAAGCTTAAGAAAATTACATATTTGTCCTTGTTGGTCCTTCCTAACTCCCTACATAGTACATGTGTCTTGATATGAGTGGGGAGTAGTACTTGTGTAATGAGGTGGGCCCCAATATAGTACAACTTGTATTACCTTTGATACATCTATTTGATGTTGTGTTAGTCCTTTTAACTCTCATTTCTAAATAAGAGTAATATAATATATAAAAAGAGTTAAAAAAGAAAAAATAAGTGATTTAAGAAAATTATAGAAATAACATTAATGATGAGATGAAGATTAAGAAAAAAACGTCAAATATAACGAAATTGAAAGGGTGAAGGTTTTTTTTTTTTTAAATGGATAGGAAATTCTATTAAGGTATCATTACATCATTATTCAATGGCAATTATAGACAATGAAAGTGCAATAACTAAAGAAAGATTGCTTTAAAACCTCAAAAAACATAAATAGTTCACAATTTGAACGATAAATTTCATAATATCATATAAAGAACCATGAAATTTGAGAACCATTAAAAAGAAAAATTGTATAATTTTAGAGAGAGAAATTATGTAAAATATTTAAGAACCTAGAAATCAATGAAAAAAAAATAGTGGTATGCAAATGAAGGAAACAAAAAACAATAATTGTTGAATAAAATGGGCCCCATAGTACAACTTAAATTACATTAAGAACAACTTTTTGGAGCTATGTTAGTCCTTCACAACTCCCTCTTCTAAATAAGAGTAAAGTATATATATATATAAAAGACAATTTAGTGAATTATGATTCTATTGTGCTTTATTTTTTTGTTATAAATTTAAATATAGTTGAAGCTCATCTCTAACTTTTCTTATTTCGTCCAAAAGATCCAATGTTGCCAAGACTGCAAATATTTTTGAGTGCATGTTGAATGATCTCTTTTGTATTCACATAATCTATGTTTGACATATTTGATTTGTCATTATTGATTTTGTGACACCTTTTAAATGAGAAGTCATTTTTGGATATGATTTCAAGAAATTTCCTATATAGTTTATTCTCTCACCATCATACATTGAATACTTTTAGTAAACATACAATGAGTAATATTTTATTATTAAAAAATAATGAACATTATGTATGATGAATTTATTTTTACAATAAATCATTGAATTCTTGAATTTATTTTACAATGAATCATTTAACAAAATAATATATTATTCACATAATCTATGTTTGACATATTTGATCTGTCATTATTGATTTTGTGACACATTTTAAATGAAAAGTCATTTTTGGATATGATTTCAAGAAATTTCCTATATAGTTTATTCTCTCATCATCATACATTGAATACTTTTAGTAAACATACAATGAGTAATATTTTATTATTAAAAAATAATGAACATTATGTATGATGAATTTATTTTTACAATAAATCATTGAATTCTTGAATTTATTTTACAATAAATCATTGAATTCTTGAATTTATTTTACAATGAATCATTTACCAAAATAATATATTACAATGAATCATACACATACATTATACCTTATGTATACTAATTCTTTTTATAGGAATTCAATAAATATGATACATAATTTAGTAAGATACAATTATTTTGATGTATTCATTGTACTTTACGAATAATAATTTTTTTATGCGAATTTAATAATTATGATACATAAATTAGTAAGATACAATAATTATGACATAATCAAATTTAACTTAATCTTTATTGAATTTCAAAACCTTTTTAAATTAATAAATATTAATTTATTGATTAAATAATATATCTAGAAAATAATAATATTTCATAGTTCCACCAATATTAATATGGGATAAGGGTCAGAAAAATACCCAACTTTGGTCGGATTTGCTGTTGCGATACTAAACTTTCACGAGGACCTATTACCTCCCTAGACTATTTAATACCGTATTTTTTACCCCCTGAACTATTTAATAGTGTATTTTAAAGGTATATATGTGCCCACGTGGACACATTATTATTTATAATTTTGTATTATTTTTTATGTCCACGTGGGCAAATATTTTACCCTCTGAACTATTTATTAGTGTATTTTAAAGGTATATATGTGCTCACATGGACACACTATTATTTATAATTTTGCATTATTTTTTATGTCCACGTGGGCAAATATATATGTTTAAAATACGGTATGAAATAGTCTAGGGAGGTAATAGGTCCTCGTGAAAATTTAGTATCACAACAATAAATCCAACTAAAGTTAGGGTATTTTTCAGAGCCTTACCCCTATTAATTTATTGTATAGTATTTAAATCTTAAAATCTCTCAGAGAGCGCACACTTGGCCGGAGTTGGAACTAAGGTAAAGCTTAAAGTACAATTCGTCTTCCTCATTCTTCCACTAAGCAGATGGAGAAACCCCAGTAACCCTCCTTATTTATTTTCCCTTAATTCTTTCGGTATAATTTCGATCTTTAATTTGCACCTTTTTGAGGGGTTGTAGGGTTATTAAACCCTTTAATTTGGAGTTTTGCTGTAAGTATTCGTATTTACGTTGATGGAGTAATTAACTTGGTGATGTTTACATTGTTACTGATGAAATGTAACTTTTTTTTTGATCAATAAGATAGTATGTTTGTAATTTTTGGACTAGCAGATGTTATTGCTATATAATCTTAGGATTGATTAAATATTCCTGAAATGTTTATCAGCCGTCAGCAGGTTTACGAGGTTCTGTTCGGGGTAAATACTTACCCGCACCATGTGTTTACACCAAACCTATTCACTTATCATGGTTAAGTTTTTACCTCTCTTCGGAATTAGTAATCCTGAATCCAGGTCGAATAACACATTTAACGACATCTCCAGCAGGAAAATTGTGTCCTTGTTAACTGTGTGCATGTAGCAATCTAACACTTAATGCTTTGTAGCTCTTAGTTTTGACATTGCAACTTATATATCATATGGTGTTTCTTTCAAGAACTTGAGAACTTTGTGTCACTAACTCAGCTAGGGAATGGAGAAAAATAGTACTAAATGGGAATGTTATAGTATTTGTTAATGACATTCCTTTAAAAAAAGGATAAACACAAGAAAACTTTTAGATAAAACACCTCCATTAATGTTTTCATGTCTGCATTTAATAAGGAAAAAGAATTTTTCTATCTCACTTTTGAAAGCGTGTTCCAATTGATTGAAACTGGTGGCTTGTTTTGTCGAACAGGAGGCTGTAGATTTGCTTACCAGCTCAGAACATTAAGAGCAGTTCGTCCCAGTTATATTGTTTTTCTGGATTTATGGTATTGCTTGGCTGAGCATTTCCTGGTGGTTGAATCGGATCTGAAATGGTTACTTGCTGACACGGTTATCTTCGAGGTATGATTACATTCTTAATTGAAGGGTGAAACAGGCACAATGTATTCTGTTTGTGCTGTAGGAATTAACTCACTCATGCTGCACATTTCCGTGATGACCTGGATTTGTATTGAGTAGACAGTGATATGCAATCTCATGTTTATTTCTTAGGCATATCTGAAAGCGTCACCATGCCTCGTAAGGTAAATTATGGAGTTGATTATGAAGAAGACTTTTATGACTATGAAGATTACAATTATGACTATGACGATGGATATGAATATGCAGGGAAAAATGGTGAGTGTCCCTCCAGCCCTTCTCAGTGCTTCATATTTAAAGATGTACTCTGCCCAGAAAATGTTAAATCTTATATGAAGATTACCACTTCATGATAATTCTGTGGTACTTTTCTCCATAGTCATCTTTTATTTAGAACTATTTTAGTTTTTCTCCAAATGTATGCAAGCCACGCCAAAACTCGTGTTTGTCTATTGATCTGCAATCCCACTTGCTTTAGTTGCGTCCATTTTCCCCTGAATTTCTGGTTCATCCAGCATTATCAGAAATTATTTTGAATCTGTACAATAAGAATATTTTTTTTTCCATTTTCGTTGTTTGGTTGTTGAATATGGTCTTGAAATATGTTGGTGGAAAATATTGAGTTACTATACATACTGGACTGCTCTAAACTGCTAACAGGGATTTGTGAAAGGATAAATACTTCTTCACTTACTAAAACTATATATGGGCTATGGCATATCAAAAGCTTAACTACTTAGATGGCTCTTAAAAAGTTCTGCCAGCTTCCAATTTAGATGACACTATATTCTGTTTTGAAATGTTTTAAATTGCTTGATGCTTCCACAAGTAAATGTATCTTATACAACTTTCACCTCTTTCAAGGATTCTGAACAATCAAAACTTAAAACCCCAATATGATGTTTCTGTTGTCAGATTAACTTCCTAACTACTAATATACTGCATCTGTCCAAACTAACCAATATTATATATATAAATAAATTGAACTCATGAAATTTCTGCACCAAGTCAAATTGTGACATTAATGAGCGCAAAGGGAATATTTGTTTAATTGTAGAAAATTTCCATTTGATTTTTTGTAAATTTTCATGTTTTTAGTTACTTTACCAGGACTATTGGTCTTGGCAGTAGTTTATGCCCCTTATATACCTAAAGCTTAATTGTAAGGAACTCAATATGCTATTTATGGTTTGCTATAGGAAGGGCACCAGAAACAAATACAAAGCAGGAATTGGTCAAGGTTGGCATCTGGCGTTGTTCCATTTGCACATTTGATAACAGAGCTAGTATGAATGTGTGTGATGTATGTGGAAATCCCAAACAAGAACCAGTTAAGGCTGGGGTGTGGTGTTGTCCCATTTGCACATTTGATAATGAAGATACCACAAATTTATGTGATATGTGTGGGGTCCTACGTAACCCATTGATCAAAGGTTGTGGTGGTGGCGGTGGCAAAGCTAGCGCAGGTTAGCAACTGGCAATATATCTCTTACAAATTTCACATTGATAAACATACAGTTTTCTTTTTGAGGGCTGGAAAGAACTGTTTCTGACTTTCTGTAGATAATAGTTTTGTTGCATTTTTATTCTCCTTGCGTATTTTCCTCCACTCAATAGATAGTAATAAGTAATGTGGTGGTAAGTTTTTTTGTGCGAGTTCTCCTTTTTGTTTCAGTTACTTAATTTTAAGACGTCATCAACGGTCCTTACGCAAATGCCTTGCATCATCCATTGATAATGGTACTTATATTTTTCCATTTTGGTAGTTCTTAGTGAATTTCGCTTGCTTCTTCATAGAGTAGATTATTTCCTTCAATTGGTGGCATATGCATAGTTTCTAGGGTGGCTATAATGGCCAAGTATCTCTGCCGCATTGGAAACCAAAAATGTTGTTCACTTCGAAGCACAGAACTTTAAGGAAAAAAAAGAGGACCGTTAACTTCGATGAGCTTTGATATATTTGTGGTACTTTGTCAAGAGGTGGGTTGGTGAGAGGGGGAGAGGGGGGGTGTATAAGGATTTTTTAGTTATTACATTTTGGATACACAGGGAACTATTGGTATTAATCAGACTAATAAACTTTTAATAGTTGGCCTTTATCAAGAAGGGCAATATTAGCCCAATTCAGGGACATCAATGATTTCAATAATTAATGGAGGGCAAAGTTAGACCAGTTTTTACATAATTCAGTCGCAAATTTGGACTTTTTTCCCCTGACAAACTAAAAGCCTCCCTTTTGTGTGGAAGTACTAAGGCTAAGGGTGGATCTTGAGTGAGAAACGATAGGTTAATTTGCATGTTAGTCCTAGAACAAAGTCATAAAAACTTATCCCCTTCAGCAAGAAACTTCTACTCGTTGGGAAATATGATTCTTAAAGCGTGCTTGTTGATTGATTTAATCAATTAACATGACTTTAGGAGGTTTTATTTTTCCTTTTCCTAGTGTAATCATTTCTTTTCATTTTGGAAAATAGTAATGTGGTAATCTTCTAATGCAGGGTAGTTACTAAGTTCAAAAAAATATAAAATCTTCTGATGTGGGGGACCTTCAAAAGTAGAAACAGAAAAAGTATACTTACAGAGATCCTGAAAAATCTACAAGCTGTTCAGTTTCTTCTTGACCTATTTCCTTGCACCAAAAATATAAATAGATACAATACAATTCCACTTAACCTTTTGAATGGGATTGGAAATATCTTCAAAATTTCTACTATTCCTCTCTCTCCAAACTCTCCACCATATGCAATGTGGGGTTATTCTCCACCATGCCTTCTGGCTCTTACTTCCCCCTCTTCTAATCCAACAACTCAACGAATCTGCAGTATGCTCAGGCATAATAATTTGTGAATGGATAACGACACAAATATATGTATAAAAGATTTGGTGTTTATCTTGAATTCAATAATTAATCCGTCAAAATGGGTGTGTTTTGTTCACACTAGGAATTCTAGGAAACTTGATCCTAGTGCCCTTAAGTGTGTCTTTTATGGGTGTTCTCCTACACAGAAATGGTACAAATGCTCTCATTCTCCCCTAGGAAAATTTTGTCAGCGTGAATGTTTCTTTTCGGGAGTTTGATCCTTATTTCAGTATTACACAATCACTTCTTCAAAGGAAGAGGAATAAAGAGGAAGAAATGATTCTCCCTGGTTCCACCATTGAAACCCCTTCCACAGGGGAAAGTGAAGTTGGAGAAAGAATTTAGGGAGAGATTGTTGGGCATTTGGGTCTCGTTCACATTGCCCGTCCCAAGCCCAGATAAAGCAGGAGGATTGCTGAGGGTCAATTGGCAACCACCTTTACTTCATAAAGGTAGGGATAAGGATGCGTACATCTTACCCTCCCAGACCCATTTGTGGGGTTAGACTGGGTTTGTTGTTGTTATTGTAGGGGGATTGGATAGGCCTAATTTGATAACTTAATGAGAAATAGAGTAGCAAAAGCCATCATGCAATCTGCCGAAGCTGAATTTTCTTATCATGATCCAAAAATTGAAAAGCTGTGACAACACCCACACTTGATTTAATAGGTGAACGCTTATCCAAGTTTAGTCCATTTTTTAACAACTAAGCGAAAATATAAAGGTGAAAAGACATAATTAAGTCATAACTGGGATCTCTTAATCATAAAGTGCAAAAAGTAACAAAATATACCCCAAAACCTGGTGTCATAGATACAAGAGCCTCTAAAGCGTTTACAAGTCTGAAAATAACAAAGTACTACTATCTAATAGTTATGAAAAAATGTAAAAATGGATAGAAGGAGACTGGTGTTGCGGATTAGCTAGGTAGCTCACCCCAAGAATGATTATTGTAGTACTAAATTCGTATATATTTGATATTTTTGGTAAACTGTGCGCTTCACTTCTCACTAATCGCTTCAATCTACATGCACCTTGTCGCCTTTTTGCGCTTTTCGTTTTTGAAAATACTGCTAAAAATAGCAAGGATGGGTGGGCTTAAATCTATGAAGAAGGTTGGTATTATTTAGAGAGAGTAAGTGACTGGTTGCATACAATGCCTTTGGTCTTTTAATTTTCTCATTCAGATGAAATTATTTTGATTCATTTCCTTTCCTTATCTCCCTTTCCAGTTTAACATTATTTAAGTCCTTCAAAAATTTTCTTCTTTGTCCTGATTTTCTGGGATAGCTCTTCATGAAGTCCCTATTCCATATTCATAATGAAGTAGAAACTACACAGATCATTCAGTGGCTATATTATGCATCTTTGTCCTAATATTTTATTAGAATCTTTAGGAGGTGCTTTCTAGGACCTTGTTCATTGGCTGTAATTTTTTTTTTTTTTATAAAGTTAAAGTTGTATTCTTCAGCATTAAGGGTATGCTGGCTACCTCCAAAAAGTTACAAGTTAAATCCATAATTACAAAGATCCTAGGAAATCAACCAACTGTTCTACTTCTTCTCTACCATCTTCTTTACACCAAAAAAACAACATGTTAATGCAATTTTCTTTAACTTTCTGAATAGTGTTAGTAATATTCTCATGACACCTAAGGTTTCTTTCTCTCCAAATAGCCCACCAGACACAAGTAGGTACTATAGACCACCATCGTTTTTGGGTCTTGCTCCCCCCCCTCCTCATCCAGCAGCTCAAAAGATCAGCAATATGTTCTGGCATCACCCAGGGCTCTTGAGAAATGCTGAGAACCATGTGCCACACCTGAACAGTAACCCTACAATGTAGGAATGAGTGGCTGTTAGTTTCTTCCTTCTCATGACAAAAAAAACATCTGATCTGGAAGCCTCTTTTCTTGAGTTTTTCCTGAGTGAGATATGCCCTTCTGGTGACCAACCAGGTGAAGCATTTCACCTTGGTTGGGGTGTTGCCCTTCCATAGTTGTTTCCATGGACCAAGAATTCCCCCCGAGTGAGTCATAATCTCTCTTATACAGCACACAGAGAGCTTGCCATCAGAGTCGTGTTTCCATCTTATACCATCTGCTTCTGTAGTAAGGCCATTGAATTCACCCAATCTGAGTAACAGTTCAACAATTCTATCCACTTCCCAATCATTTAGATTTCTCATGAAGGTGAGGTTCCATCCCTGAGGGGACCAAATCTCAACAATTTTAGCATCAGGATTGGTGCAAAAAGAAAAGAGATTGGGGAAGACCGAGTTTAGACACTCTTGTCCTTCCAAAAAAATATTTTGTTACCCTCTCCCACCTTGACCACCAAATTCTCCTTTAAACTAGGCCATAAATTTCTGATTGATCTCCAAACTGATACCCCATACGTGCTTTCTACTACATTAGACACCCACTCCTCAGTCTGCCCATACTTGTTGAGAATTGCTCTTCTCCATAATGCCTGATCTTCAACCACAAATCTCCAAAGCCATTTAGAAAGTAGACTTTTGTTCTGGACCCTCAGATTTTTTATGCCAAGCCCTCCTGTCTTCTTGCTTAGTAAGGCTGTCTGCCATTTAACTAAGTGTATTTTTTTTCCCCTTGTTCCCCGACCATAGAAAATCATGCCTCAATTTATCTAACCTCTCTTCTACCTTTGCTGGTAAAGGGAAAAGTGACATAACATATCTAGGCAACGCATCCAGGACCGAATTGATCAGAGTGACTATTCCTCCCAGAGATAGATAGTTTGCCTTCCAATTAGCCAACCTCTTCTCTGTCTTCTCAATGATTCCATCCCAAATCTCAAGCTCCTTGTGATTATTCCCCAAAGGCATTCTCAGGTAAGTAGTTGGTAAGTGCTCTATCTTGCATTGCAAGATGCTTGCCAACAACTGAATATTTGCCACTTCCTTGATTTGGAAGATGCTGTTTTTCCCCCAATTCACAGCCAGTCTGGAGATGGCCTCAAAAATCACCAAAATAACTCTAATGTAACTAACTTGTTCTACCTTTGCATCGCAAAATATTACTGTGTCGTCTGCATATAAAAGGTGACATATTTGCAAATCAACCTCTGACTGGTTACCAATGTTGAAACCCTTTATCCAGTCGTTCTGATTGGCCACTCTAATCATACTGTTAATACCCCCCATAGCTAAAATAAATAGGAAAGGGGAGAGAGGATCTCCGTGTCGTAGTCCTCTCTCAGAAGGACAAACCGGCAGGTTCTCCATTAACATAAATGGAGAACCTGGCAGTTTTGATGCAAAAACCTATCCATTTAAGTCATTTGTCTCCAAACCCATCTGCTTCAAAATATTAAGTAGAAACTCCCAATTGACATGATCATATGCCTTTTCTATATCAAGCTTGCACATTATTCTTGGGATCTCTCCTTTAATCCTTGAGTCTACACACTCACTAGCTATTAACGCGGCATCCATAATTTGTCTTCCTTGAATGAAGGCCATTTGGTGATTGTTCACTAATTTGCTTATCACTTTCTTTAATCTCTCTGCCAACAGCTTACCAAAGACCTTGTACACACCACTAATGAGACTTATGGGTCTGAAATCCCTAAGTTCCATAGCTCCTGTCTTCTTTGGGATTAGAGCCACATAGGTGGCGTTAAGGCTCTTCTCTATTTCATGTCTTTCATGAAATTGTCTCACTGCATTCATGAAGTCTGTCTTCAGTATCTCCCAGAAGTTTTGGAAAATCTCATCGGAAAGCCATCTGGTCCTGCCTCCGGGGGCCTTATCACTAGCACATGATTTTATGCAATTAAAAACTTCATCTTCCTCAAATTGCCTCTGGAACCATACATTTTCCTCTTGTATAATGCTTTCCACTCCCTGTACATTAAAATCTGGCCTCCATTGTTCTGTTTCTCTGCAAAGATTTTGGTAGTAACTGATTATGGTTCCTTTAATTTCTTCTGAATTTGTTACTGTAACCCCTTCAACCATCAACTTATCAATGGTGTTAAATCTTTTATGGGCTGTAGCCATCCTGTGAAAATACTTGGTATTTTTGTCTCCGTGTTTGAGCCACTGTACTCTAGACCTCTGCTTCCAAGCTATTTCCTCGTTTTTTGCAACATCTTCAAACTCCATAGAAAGATGTACTTTCTGAAGTAACTCATCCTCTGATAGTAATCTCAACTCCCGAGTCTTTTCTAAAACAGACAACTGATTTAAGATTTCCTCTTTTCTCTGATTCCAATTGTTCCTATTCTCCAGTTTCCATTCTTTTAGCTTCCCCTTTAGCATCCTCAACTTGGAGGCTAGGACATAAGAGCCCATACTAGTGATATTGAAAGATGCCCGCCAATCTTTAACTTTGTCTGAGAAACCCTCCACCCTTAACCACCATTGTTCAAATTTGAAGTAAGACTTCTTCAAATTTAAATCTCCGCATTCAAGCAAAATTGGATTGTGGTCAGAACCTATTTTGGGAAGCATGTTCTGTTTAATCCGTGTGAAGGTCTCATCCCACTGGGAAGAGAATAAAAACCTATCAATTCTGGAAGCAAACATGTGATTGTCCCCCCTTCTCCATGTGAAAAGACCCCCCAAATAAAGGAGGGTCGATGAACTCCATCTCATTGATCCATTCAGAGAATTCAGTCATTGGCGTAGTAATTTTGTGCCCTTCTGATCTTTCGTTTGGTTATCTTGTGGCATTAAAATCTCCACAAGCTACCCAAGGCCCATTACACAGTTCTTTGATGTTGATGAATTCTTGCCAAAGTTCTCTTCTAGTTATTGGATCACATGAGGCATACACAGCTGAAAGGAACCATGTGAGTGCCTGATTTATGCCTTCAAACTTGCAGGTCACCATTTGGTTTGCTGCTAATACCAGCTCTCCTTTCCACACCCTCTTATCCCACATTACTACGATGCCACCACTTCTACCTATAGCATCCAAATGAAATTCCCCCCATCCATCTATTTTGTCATAATTGTTTGAATACATTCACCTCTGATCCTCCCAATTTTGTCTCAACCAGAACGTAAATATCAGCCCCCAATGTTGAAATAATCTCCTGACTATCCCCCTTTTTTCTTCTCCATTTACCCCCTTACATTCTAAGAAAGGATTTTGACTTTCATTGGAAATTTGTGTTTGTTATTCTCCCCCTGTTTCTTGATTCCCCTTCTTTAAACTTAACATGAAATTCCATCTCCTTTGGGATTGTGTTCTTTGCTTTGATTGGTGTTGTCTCCACCTTCTGCCTCAAATCCCCCCTCTTTTGATCAATTCTCAGAAATAGATCAAAAGCCGCCTTATCACATCCTTCAAAAGCAACCCCAAAAAGTTGACTGAGTTTAAGTACATTGGAATGTACCCAAAGTGAAGCTGTCTTCAATTTCTTGTTCTGAGAGACCATCATTAATTTGAAGAGGAAGAGGATCTTCAAATAATGTAATTTGCTCAGTAGAGCAGTTGCCCTGATGAAGATCTATCTTATCAGTTTCTGCTGAATTAATTCCTGCTCCTTCGATATCATAAATAACCATAGGCATGTTGTTGTCTTCACCCCCCAAAACTTCCGACCCATAGTAAATTGCCATATCATCCTTAGCAAAAGATGTTTCAGTTCTCACTCCAGCCCCATCTCCATCTCTGATATATTTGAGCTCGGAAAGAAACTGTTCTCTGTCGAGAAGAGGTTGTCAGCAAAAGGTTCCTTTTCTAACTGGATGGAGTCTTTCTTAGGCAATTGGGCTTCATGTGACCCACTGCCTTTTATTCCGATTTGGTCCAACACTTCTAATACCATTCCTGGGCCCAAATTTTTAATTATTTCCCTCACATGTCTTTCACTCAGACCCGCGTGTTCCTCTTCCCCTTTTTTTTTTGCAAACTAACTGCGAATCATTCCCCAAAATGTTAGTCTCCACCTCCTTTGGCATAAAAGTCAGCAAAGGGTTTTGCTGTGGGAACTCCCTTCCAGATACATGTTGTGTTGCACCTTCTAGTTGATCAACGTGCATTAGATCTGACTTCTGTCTGAATCTCGCCGGAGCTTCACACCATACCGGCAAAGAAAAATTGAATTCTCCATCACTCACTTCTACATATGCCGGAATTTCCTTCAGAGGACCTTTGACTCGAATACGGGCCCATCTCAGGTGATACTTGAGTTGGGTTTCTTCTTCCGCTTCAATCCATCCGCCGCACTGGTCCCCCATCTCCTTCATCACTTTATCAGTCCATAGATGTAGCGGTAGTCCCAAAATTCGAACCCAAAACCAATCAAATTGATGTTGGGCTGGAATAGCTCCCGTCGTCGGAGACCACCAGTCCAGTTCCAATAGATGATTGCTCCTACTCCATCTCCCTGCTAGCACATTTTCAGCATCCCTTCTCGATTGAAATTCAAAAAGGAATTGGATCCCGTTCAAATCAAATACTTGTATGTTGTGGATGCCTCTCCATGTGTTTTGCGCCCATTTCCTAACATCGTTATGAGAAGGTATCTCATCGCAATCTGGGAAGCTGCCAACCAGACTTCTCCTCAAAGGATCCTTATCTCCATTGGTACTACTCTCTGGAGCTGATTGAAGTTCATTAGGGGGCCATCTGCTTTTTTGAAGAGCTTCCTTATAACTTCCTTTTTCTTTTTGCCCATTACTGATTATTTCCCCTGCATTTAGAGTTTCTCTCTGTAAAATTTCAGGCTTATTAATAAAGACCTCAATTTTCTTAGAGAGATCAGACCAGCCAGCATTAAATGTGATTTCAGGGAGAATAATAATAGATCTCAGCTCTCCTTTAACCGTAATCACAGACACAAATCTATCATATTTATTGTACTTCAATGAGCAATAAATAAGAGTAGTTAAATCTCTGCATCTCCAAGTTTTGAAGGATTTTCCTTTGATTTCTGAAGCTTCATTAAATCTTCTGCATAGCCACTGTAGAGCTACTCTACTCAGCTTCATTCTTCTCATATATAACCTAGCACTCTCCACCCATTCAAACCTAGAATCTGAGGCTAGTTTGGTATCAGTTAAGTCATAAGACTTGCCCCCTAATCTGAAAAAGATTCTGTTCTCCATCTTTCTCCTAAATAATTGATGAAAAGAAAGGAAAGTGCTTTAACCAAAGACGTAGTGGGAGGTGAAAGCCCTTGCGGCCTGGATCGAACCAAGAAAAGGCTGAAATTCTGTGTTTTGACGATTTACGCGCCGGCACATGCCGCGAGAGACTTCGAAGTCTGAGAGGAAGAGGTGGCGCGTGCGAGCGCGTGGGGAACTTTCTGGGGATGTGGTCTTTTTGGGGTTGAGTCGCGGGGTCTGGTAGAGGCTTTGGTGGAAGTAGATTGTCAGGAAAAGAAGAGGGAGTGAGGATTCCGGTGACCAGAAGGATCACCGGAGTGAAGATATTTACACGTAATTATCTTGCCAATAACGACCTAATGACTATAGGAGTAAGAGATGGAGAATAATTTCCGTCGACATTTTGGTGGAGTATCCTAAACAATGAGATGAAATCAACTATGTACCTGTTCAATGACACCTTCCTGCAAGCTTTTTTTTTTTTAATTTTTTTTATTCTTTTCAATTGTTAAACTATTTACCTGTTTACTGGAACCTTCCTGCTGACTTTGCTTCCCTTTTTGTCATTGAGAATGTTAAAGTAGATTGAAACTGAATTTTTCATGCACCGACTTTTGCCAATTTTCCTCCAAAATCATGCAGAAAGATGACACCTTTCATATTACCTCTCCAATAATACCAAAAAACAGTAGTCTTAATTTCTAATATTTTATATCCTGTACTCTATTTTGGGAGTTTGACATATTTCGTGTATATTTACTATTCCTTTTGCAGCTACTAGCAACAAAGTCGTACAGTCAAATGTCCTATCAAGTAAAAAGGAAATAGCTGGTGAAGTTAAAAAAAAATTGGTTTCTGAAGAGCCTACTAGTTCTTCCACATCAACAGCGAAGGTTAGATGTGATGACATGAAGGATAGAGGTTCTTCTATAGAAACTAGAGGAAATCATGACGGCATGAGCAATGTGAGCAATATGTCTGTATCATCAAATTCTCACAATGTGGAGAGTAGAATTGCAACTTCAAGATCACAGAGTAAACCTCAGAAAATTGTATGCACTGGTCAATTAGAAGACAAATTGAACCAGCTAAATCTTGCAATTGTGAGTCAATCATTTATGTGATTCAAGATTTCAAACATTTTGAATGTCTAATCCGCTGATCTTACTCCAAAATTTTCACCATGTAGGTTGGCCATGTTGATTCTGGGAAGTCAACACTATCAGGAAGACTACTACACCTTTTGGGGCAGATATCTCAGAAGGAAATGCACAAATATGAAAAAGAGGCCAAGCAGCAAGTAATCCTTCTTTTCACTTTTCATCCACTTTTATAAGGACATAGTGAAATCTTGATTAGCTGATTGATACATATCCTATCTATAATCAGGGAAAAGGGTCCTTTGCTTATGCCTGGGCATTGGATGAGAGTGCTGAGGAAAGAGAGAGGGGAATAACTATGACAGTGGCTGTTGCCTACTTTAACACAAAAAGTTACCGTGTTGTACTGCTTGATTCCCCAGGCCATAGAGACTTTGTCCCAAATATGATATCAGGTGCAACACAAGCAGATGCTGCAATTCTCGTAGTTGATGCTTCAATAGGTGCATTTGAAGCTGGCATTGATGTTAGTGGAGGTCAGACAAGGGAGCATGCACAACTTATCAAAAGCTTTGGGGTGGACCAGATAATAATTGCTATTAACAAAATGGATGCAGTGGGATACTCCAAAGAACGGTTTGATACAATTAAGAATCAACTAGGAACATTTCTTCATGCTTGTAAGTTTAAAGATTCATCAGTATTGTGGATTCCCCTGAGTGCCATGCAAAACCAAAATTTGGTGACAAGTCCTTCTGATGCAAGATTGTTGTCCTGGTTAGTCTACTGGCCAACTGCTAACGCTAAAAGGACGCATAGTGTTACTCGTTATCTTCAACTTTATCGTATTTGCATCATTTAGATAAATGCTTTCATGGAAGTTTTAGGCAGAACAATGGAAACAGTAGGTTACATAGCAAATAGATAAGTTAAACTGTATGCAATTGGAATTTGAAACAATTAAAGTGTTCTTAAGATTGACAACCCAAATTTGCAAGATAATAGATAAAAGGGAAAAAGGACAAATATACCCCCGAACTATCGTAAATGGTATGCAGATACCCTCCGTCATACTTTTGGGACATTGGTGCCCCTGCCGTCTAAAAACTAGAGCATATATGACCTTCACTCTAACGGAAGACTAAATAGGGACACGTGGCGCAATCTTATCAGTCGATAAATGTCGGATCGGTGGATAAGATTATGACACGTGAATGCCCCTTAGTATAAAGGGTATATATGCTCTAGTTTTTGGACAGCAGGGACACCAATGTCCCAAAAGTATGACGGAGGGTATCTGCATACCATTTACAATAATTCGGGAGTATATTTATCCTTTTTCCCTAGATAAAATGATGATTGTGCTGTGGAGTCAAAATTTCTGTGGTAATTTAGTGTCGTACACAAATAGCTCGCAAAGCTCCCATTGTCTTTTGTAGTTAATAATGAAAGTTTATTTCAGGTTTCAAGGTCCATGCCTTTTAGACGCAATAGACTCTCTCCAACCTCCCCAAAGAGATTACTCAAAGCCTATATTAATGCCGATATGTGATCTCGTTAAATTACCCTCACAAGGACAGGTGTCAGTATGTGGAAAGTTGGAGACAGGAGCTCTTCAAACTGGAGATAAGGTACTCAATTACCCACTAATGCATGAGAGATCCTTCTCCTTTATTTTGACACTCAACATTTAAATTCATCAAGTATCATATCTAGAAAAGATATTTCTCCTTTATGATATATATGCTTTTAGAAGACTTGGACTTTTGAGTCATAACTGTACAGGGAGTTATACTGGTGCCTATAGATCATGTCATCAGTCTGACCATCACCCAAATTAACCTGCCAAAATACCATGCTCTCATTAGGAGGGGCAGAGGGAGGCATTAGGCAAGTAAACATGTATCCTAATTCCATCAAGGTGCTTCTACATTTTTTTCTCCGAGTGTAACTCTTTTCTAACTGTATATTCTACAGTATTTTGAATTTTATTTGGGGTGTGTGTGCTGAGGGGGGATGGGAGTTCAAGGCAGTTGTTGTTTGAGCTAAGGCTTTGCCTGGATTGAAACCTCAGGTGGTTTTGATTACTTCCATGTTTTATGTCTTTCTTTCTTGTCTTGGAAGGGACATCTGCATGTTGACAATAATGAGATAGGTACACGGTGAAACACAAAGACACTTCTTTTTTCTCCCTGTAATGTTAGATACCAGTGAATTAGAGTGTACGGGCTCTAGTTAACAGAGTGATAGAGTTAAAGAGGACTAATATAACTAACAGATACTTGCGCAGTCATCTTGTTAGGGCATTGTTGGGACATGCTGTTAGGTCATTACTGCAATTGCCATCATAATGCTTGTATGGTGCAATCATCTATTGGACAGCAATTGTTTAATGTTGTCAGTAAATGCACCATTGGTGGTTTTTTGTTACGTGCAGATTATTTTTCTATTTTACAAGATTTGACCTTGTAACAAGAATGAAAAATTCTTTGGAAGGATAATAGTCTTTTCTAACGCTAAATTCTTAACATGGTCAGGTTCTAGTTATGCCATCAAGAGAAATGGCAACAGTGCGTTCTTTGGAACATAATTCTCAGGTCTGTAACAGTGCAAAAGCCGGAGACAATGTCACTGTTAATCTACAAGGTATAGATGTGAATCGTGTAAAGGCAGGGGATGTGCTGTGCCACCCTGAATATCCTATTGATGTTACAAATCATTTGGAACTGAAGATTCTTCTCCTGGATATTGCTGTTCCAATTTTAATTGGCTCTCAGGTAGCAGCTCTTGTCATTTTACCCTCAAAATTCACAGAGTTGCATGACATCTGTTTCTAGTTAATAACTCAATAGCTCTGGATATTTGAAAATGTGCAGTTGGAATTTCATGTACACCATGTTAAGGAGGCTGCAAGAGTTGTGAGGATTTTGTCCTTGCTTGATCCAAAGACTGGAAAGGAGACCAAGAAATCACCTAGATGTCTTCTAGCAAAGCAGAATGCTATAATTGAGGTTTCTCTCAAGAGCAACTATATGTCTATTGATATGCTTATGTTTTATCATTTTAGTAAATAAATAAAAAATGTCTTTGGTGGGAATGGGTGCATCGAAGATTCTAGCTATAAAAGAGATCTTAACTTTAATCTGTTTGTCATGGTTCAGGTAGTTTTGCAAGGGATGATTTGCGTTGAAGAGCATTCTAAATGTAAGGGTCTTGGAAGGGTGTCCCTCAGAGCATCAGGAAGAACCATCGCTCTTGGTCTTGTGACTCGAGTTCTAGAGAAGAAGGAATAGAGAAATTGCCACTGCTGGAATGAGGTTTGACATGCCCAGAATCAGCTGGTAGAGGTATACATCTGTGAGGACCTTTAGCTTGAAACTCGCAGTTGAGTGTCATCCTTTTCTTTCTCCTCTCTTGCCTGTCCTGATCTCCTCTAGAGATCCACAATTTTTGTAGTTGCGATGAATGTTAATGATTCTACAGTGGCATAGCTCTAGACATGGGTTTCTTCCCTTCATTTTTGTGGCGGATTTTTCTTTACTTGTACATTTGGAGGAATCTGATATATATTTAGGGTCCCCTCTTTGAGCGACATATTCACCACTTTATGTATGTCTTAACATGCATACATGACCCTCCTTCATTGTAATACTTGCTTGTAGAATTTTAAGAGGGACAACTTCAAGATGACCATTTTTACTTGGGTATAATGATGGTATGAGAAATATTTACTTAAAATGTCTAGACTGTGGGTCAGGATTTGGGAAGGTTGTCTATTTACTTCCCACACTCTTCAAGGATGTGGAGCTCCGATTAAATTTGGATCGCGCTCTACATGGCCTATTCGGGTGTGGCGCTTTCAACAGGATTTTCTCCATACCCAGGGCTTAAACCCGACACCTCAGGTTAAGTGTGAAACACTCTCATCAGTGCACCACAACCCATGTTGGTGGTATATCTTTAACTTATAAGAAGCCATATATAGGCCAACAAAGCCACAAATAGAGACTCGTGCAACAATAATAATTCATGTAACCCATCAATTCACAACAAAAAAATACAAGTTCTTCTGTGGGCTGACGAGACCACCATGCTGTCTATAGTCACCGACGTTGTCCAGACCATTAAGACCACCATAATATCTATACTCATAGAGTGTTATGTGGATTATTGAGGTCATCATGATATCTATTATCAGAGAATACTCTGTGATCCATCGAGATCATCTTGATATCTATAATCATGAAACACTATGCACATCGTTGAAATCAGCATGATATTTAAAATCACAAAAAAATATATACAAAGGTCATCGTGATAACTGTACACTCCCTAATCTACTAAACTTGACTGGGACAGGCCCTGACCTACCCATCAATTGTACAAAACAAAAGACCAATCAAACCTCTAGATCTGACAACTTCGGAAGAAGAGGAGATGACATGAGTTCAACTTCCCTAAGCTCAAGGCGTCAATATAAAATAATGTACTGAGTACGTAAGATAAAATAATAAGAGGGAGGGGGCAAAGATAATCTATGTACACCTACCTGCTCTTGAATATATGAAATACTGAGGCTGATATATATGAAAGCACCTCACTTTGTGGGATTTCACTGGGTATGTTGTTGTTGTTGTTGATATATATGAAAGCATTCTAAGTACTCAGACAAGAAGTCAGAGGGTATTTGAAATTTCCGTACTGTAATTTTGGTATCTAATTTTTAAAATTTATACCATTATAATATCAATTTAATTTGGTATGATTCGATATTTTAATATTTGGTTTCAGTATTTTGCGGTATAATAAATTGATAACCATAATTTGTTTAACTTCGACTGACATAGACTCGTATATTAGAGTATTATGACTTCGACTATTTAAAAAAAGTCTCAATTGTATTATTCTAACACATTATATATGTAGAAATATATATTTAAAAGAATGTACAAACAACTACTCTACTTTGTTACTCAATTACATTTAAAATACATTTCAATCAAAATAAAGTAATCAAAGTTTTAACTTTTAAGCATTTGATTTCTACTTTCTACTAATACTAGGTTGCATATTTGTTACTATTTTAATAATAATAATAATATATATATATATATATATATATATATAGTAACTTATTTATTGAGTCAATTCATTTTTATTTGATCAAATTCAATCCCATTTTTCAGACTTAGTTGTGAACAATTCAGCCAGTCTAGGAGGACCACCTCTCCTTCTCTCAATACCCTTTTGCCTTTCACTTTTTCTTTTTTGCTCTTAATTTGAAAAAAAAATGAACTAGACAATTTCTAGATCTCCTTCAAAGAAGGATCTACTAATTTTTTGTGAGTACTCCAAAATTAGATACCATGTCGTGTAAAGGAATGATTCTGATTTTATTTTCTATTAAATACTTAAGTATAATATGAACAGGTGCATTTGAACTAATCTACAACCCCAAATATTTCACCTAACAATTTAGGAAGTGATTGTACTTTTTGTTTGCAGGCAAATAAACATAGGATCATCACCTAAGTAGAATTATTGGGAGGGGTTGTTGAAGTCAAACTTCCAATTAATGCTCTGATGGATATGGTGGTCAAGGTCTCTTTTTTCAAGAAGATTTGCCAAAAGAGTATCTAAACATAATATTACCCGTTTGGACAATATTTTATGGAAGTTAAAAAACCACTCTTAGAAGTTAATAAATAAGTTCACTTTTACTTGTTCATTTTAAATTTTGCACGATTATTAAGAAATAATGATTGACACGATTATTTTATTATAATATACAAATTACGAATTGATATTGAGTCTTAAATTTTGAAAAATAATTTAGAAATAATAATTAATGATGAGGTTATAAAAACATGAAAAAATAAATATTCTTTTATATGCTAAAAGTGACAAGTAAAAGTGAAATATATTTTTAGTGTAGTGAACAAGTAAATGTAAACGGAAGGAATATATACTTTCTCTATTTCATTTTACTTTACTCATGTTGACTTGACATAACTCTTAAAATAACTTTTATTAGGGGTATATTTTACTAAACTAATCTTATTAATTAATTGTGTTTTGAAACTCTAAGTTTACGTTTTAATATGCGCTATGAAGTCATGATTTCAAATCACAATTCTTCAAAAAACATGATTTGGAATTCCAAATCATGATTTCAAACTTTTTAAAATGTAAAATTTGATCCATAATATTATATTTTGTAAAACAAGACCCATCATATTAAACTTTGCAAGAAAAAATATGACTTATGCGTGAAAAAAATGTTTGTATCATGTAAAATGATTATATTAAAGAATAACTAGTTACTACTGTTGTTCACTAGTAGATATTTGTAAAATTGAAAGTTTATAATCGCAAATATTTATTTATAAAAAAAATGAAGATATGTGATTTATCAATGCGGTATCATATGATATTCCGATATCTTGTTTATGGAAGGTTTGTTCATTTAATAAAATTGTGTAAGAATTGGATAAAACTTGATAGTTCTCACGACTTGTGGGATTTTTATGTTTATAAAAAAAAATACAATTTAAGAAATTCAAATTGCATATCAAACATTATTATTTGACTCAAAATACTAATAATAATCTATTCTAATATAGGAGCCAAGTAATAAAGCTCTCCTAATTTGCTAAAATGGAGAAGTAAAAAGTAAATTTTACTTTTATATTTAAACATGATTTTTACTTGAAGGAAAAATTGTTGGTGAAAATTATTACTCATTTGGTTTGAAATGATTCTCAATATGTGTAGTATTTCATGAAAATGTTGGTAATATATTAAAAACCCATATTTTACATTTTTGTTGGGTAAGATGTTATTGTCTCACCCCCCACCCCCCACCCCCACCCCCACCCCAAGAAAACAAACAGAAGCAACAAATACCATAAACCACTCCTCAAAAGTTTGAACCTAATCAAAATATCACATCTTTTGAAAAGACAGACAAAAAAAAAAGGTAATCTTGATAGTAGAAACCCTTTAATTAAATCTAAGATTTCAAATGAAAAAACAAAAGGGACTGAGCACAAAAGAAGGCCTCTTGTCTTTGTGTCCCCTATGCCTATTTACAGTTTAGTTATTATTATTATTATTATTATTATTATTATTATTATTTTATGGACATTCCTAATGACTAATTCAATTCACCAAATCCTTTATAATTGTCTCCATTCATATCCTCTTTAGTATTTAATTAACACACTAGTATAGTACTTATTTTATCATATATCTTTACCATTTATGTGACTTGGAATTAATTGTTTACTTAGATGAGCACAAGAGAAAAAAAGTACTCCACTAAGGCATAATACATCCTTAAACTAGGTCATATATGACATCATGAATAAATACTTAAATTTATATAAAGTTGAATAAGTGACAATTCACGTCCTACATAGTGTCCTACACGTATTATGCATGTAGGATGCGTGTGACTATTTGTGCTTACTTGTATACACCAAAAACTAAAAAATATAAATGCGAGCCGAAACCAAATTAAATTACACATTTATATAAAAAATAAAAAAAACTTATAAACAAAATATATATGGTGAAATTCAATAATAATTTATAAAAAAAACGAAGAGAAGAAAGTACAAAATACACAAAAAAAAAATCATTTCTTACTCTTCTTATCTTTTCCATTGGCAAAGAAAGATCCTAAACCAAAGAGATTAGCAGTAGCCTTTGGAATAAAAGTATAAGGTGGTACATTCAAAACAGGATTAATGCAAATCCCATTACTATAATTCTTTCTCAATGGAGGCTTTTGTGATGAGTAAAAACTAACTCCAGAAGAAGGATTCATTATATTCTTCTTCTGTTTCTGATTTTCTTTTACTGAACAACTCTTTGATCCAGTAGAATTACTGCGTGGTAACGACCAAAATGAGCTTTTCTTATTTCCGTGAAGACTAGTACTTCTTCTAATACGCCAAAACGACTTGTTTTGATCCTTTTGCTCATCATCATCAACACTAATGTTACTAGTAATTGTAACATTATGTTTCGAGATTACATTTTTAGTTGCAACTGGAGCTGGAGCTGGAGTCGGAGATAATGTGACAACTTTTTGTTGTAGTTGAAGAGGGCGAATTAATCCATTTAAGAAGAGTTCGTCTGCTGAACAAGTTTCTGTATTAGCAATGTTGCTAATACAGAAATCGAATTCAGAATTTGAATCTGATTGATAATGTTGCAAATCTAAGACTTGTTTGCAGCAAATATCATCTGATGAGAAAGAGATTCTTGGACTTGTAACCTCTGAGATCATATGAATTGCCATTTTTATTTTTTTTACTTGGAGTAAATTGGAAGGATAGAAAAGGCTAAATCTTTGGGATTGTTGTTGTAGTAAGAAGACAACAATATTTAAATATGAAGTTGGGATTAAAAGAAAAAATTTAGAGGATGGTCACAAGTCAAAAGAAAGGCTAGACATATGGTCTGGTTTCTACTTTCTTGGTGTCCTTTTTTCTTTTTTTCAAACCCCACATTCGATTAAATTTGCATTGCGCATTGCAGGATTCATTCGGTGATGGTGCTTCTAACAAGATTTTTTCATACTCAAGGCTCAAACCTGAGATCTCTGATTAATGGTGAAATTTCACTATTGTACCACAACTCATGTTAGTACTTTCTTGGTGTCTTTAATACTTCTTCTGTCTCACCTTTTATGATTTACTTTCTTTTTTAAGCAGACCCAGAAAAAATGACACATTTCTATATTAATAAATAATTTAACTTTAAAATATCAATACCCTTAATAAAATAATTTATAATCACGCAAACATTTGTCATTTATTTTAAACCACAAATTTTAAAAGTCTTTATTTTTTTCTTAACTCCGTGTCAAGTTAAATTAACTCATATAAAATGAAACAGAGGAAGTACTAGCCAGGATTTTTTTTTTTTTTTTTTTTTTTTTTTTACCGTGGTTTCCGGGCGTCGCTTTGCGAACCCGACTAGCTGTACCCACCGGGTCCCGCTGTTTCAAGGCGGGTCCACCACGGTTAGTTCCACGGGGCCCTGGAGACGCGGCCGGTTTGTAATGCCTCCAGTGGCCCTGCTGGGGCTCGAACCGGCGACCTGAAGGACTTTGTCCCAGGCCTACTAGCCAGGATCACTAATGATTTTTATGTCAAAAAGTAAAAATAAAAAGAAAAAAGAAACTGTGAATTTAAAGATGAAAGGCAAGTTTGGTCCCTCCACAATGAGTGCACATGCAGAGGAAGTTAAGAAGTACAACAGCTTTATAAATTTTACCTTCCTACAACGACAAAATATACTTTTACTTTTGAGCAACCAGTAACTGAATTTAACTTTATACCATGTATATCATTCTTTTACTGTCATCCTTTGGTGTACAAATTTAGTATAGTATAGTATTTATTTTGGTTTGCGAGAATGTACTCAAGAGATGACAATTTTACAACAACCTCAAATTATAACAGACTATAGTCTATACAACCAATCATGCATATTTATGCTACATTCAATTTTATTGTGTCACATTTTATTCTGCGAATTTAAAACGTTCAAGCTGATTCAAACGGGCAAAGCTTACATCTTCTTTTTTGTTTATAATGCCGAATTTTAATGGAGAGATTGTATCATTTGAGCTGTTTATTGCCCATGTTGATGTTGTTATCAAATAAATAAGGAGACATCAATATATACACCAGCACACCAAGCAGCAGAACTTTTAATCAAGGCAGAGCTAGAAGCTTGGATACGAGTTCGATCAAATTCAATAACTTTTGTTCAAATAATGTTTATATATGTATTAAGAAGTTTTTTTTATTTAATATATATGAATATTAGGTTTAGAATCAAATTTTCAATACCTGAAATCATCATTATACAATTTAAAACTCAATAAAATTAAAATTTAGATTTCACCTAAGAAAATTTTTAGTTCAAGTATAAGCATACAACGAATACCTATATTATTTCTTGCTTTTGTCTCGTCTTTTGTATTCTTAGGAAGTTAAGGAATACTTTTGCCACATGCCATCTACTGGTTTATTGCTATTCAATTACGATACTATAGGAGTTGAGCTTCTATCTTAAAGCATAATCAATCCCTTCTAGTAAATGTTGCATCTACACGCATGATTGCATGACATGCATTAGTGGCGGAACTAGAAATTTCAAAGGGTGTCCAAAAATGAGCACAACAAAAGCTCTTTCCATAACACGCGAGCACTATAAAACCACTAGGTTATAACAATTTATTGTGTTAAGAGTGTCCAAAATATGTTATATAATCATTTCGTATATCATTTTACTTGTATATACAAAAAAAAAAATTCGACAAAGGGTGTCCAATTAGACACCATAACAACCATGTAGCTACGCCACTCAGGGGCGGATCTATAGTGTGTCCAGGGGGGTCATCCGACCCCCCTCGGAAAGAAAATTACACTATATATATAAGATCAATTTTTTTGTGTACGTGTATATATTTAAAATTGAACCCCCTGAGCATATGTCAAAGGAGTAGCTCAATGGTTTATGGGGGTCAGGATTTCGCCTATGTGAGCTTTGGGTCACGGGTTCGATTCCAGGCAACAACATTTTTTTTATTTGAACCCCCTTGATAGAATTCCTGCCTCCGTCACTGACGCCACTGCATGACATTAATTGCTAACTATATAAACATATTGCGCTTCGATGGAATCAATGTTACATTTTCTCGAATCCTAACTTTTAACCTTCTCTATGACGACCAAAATGTCATGCCTCAATTAAAATAATTATATTTTTTTCCTTTTTTTAAAATAAAAATAATTATATTTACTATCGACCCCAAGTCAATTTTATTATACTCTCTCCATTTTACTTAGCTCTTATTAACTTGACTTTGTTTTATTAAATCATTCTTATTGATTATGTTTACGGAATGATAAGGGTAAATATTTAAAGGATAAAAAAAATCTTTTAATTTACTAAAATGAACAAATATATAGGAAAAAATATTTTTAATACGAGAGTAAGTGTAAAAAGGAAACTAGAGAGTAGTAGATTATACAACTTAAGTCGAACAACATTGAATTTGTGATTACTTGCCAAATAATCCAAATTAACTATTATCAAAACACGATTTCATATTAATACATAATAATATCTATTAATCCCCACCCCCCCAAACCCCACCCCACCCCAAAAAAAATTAGGAGTCTTTTGGTAGAGTGTACTATAAGAATAGTGTTAAGTAGAGTATATCACGAATGATCAGATCAGTTATGCTAGAATTAGTTATTTTGTAATTATTTCATATCAATTGTTTGATTTCGTGCACTAAGGATAATTTTGTATTGAATCATGTTTACTCATGCTATTCTGTATTACTAATTATAATTACTATCGACCTCAAGTCAAAATAGATTATTGTTCAACTTAATGTATAGTTGAGATGGACTAAGGTAAATCGAGTTAAGATGGACTAAACAATGAATTGTAGTCCAATCCGCACAACTCAACATATCATTTTTATAATTTTAAAACTTTATTAAAATGCTTGATTCCCATTCCAAAGGTCATAATTCTTACCAAATGCCTACCTAACACTGCAAATATAAGGAAAGGAAGGGGAAAATATGGACCATTCAATAAACTATAAGAAAATTATTTTTCAATATTTGATACAATGAAAGTCATTATTATGAAAAAATATTTTCCATCAAGAAGATAATACCTTAGGATACTTATGGGCGGAAATCATTTCCATATATTAGATACGCAAACTTTCATTTTCTATGAAAGACATTTATCATTAAAAAAAAATAACTTCAATAACTTATGAGCAAAAGCCATTTTGTTTATAACTATCTTACCTTTTAATTTCATATTCGTAATCTCAACCAACACCCCTTAATAACAAGTAAAAATACACATTGATTATATCAAATTTGGAGACCTCAATAGTTTTAGCAGGATCAGTTTTAAGCAGCTTTTCTAACAGACTAGCAAATGAAAACTAAACTCAACAAGCAAGCCAAAAATCTAAAAGAGCTAAGAGAAAACAGGAACAATTTCACATTGTTCCATAACGCTTCTAAATAAAATAAAATAAAATAATATAAACACCAAAATTGCAAAAAAAGGGTAATAGCAAAACCAGGAGTTTGTACCCTAAGCCTCCGTTAAGGGGAACTCAAACACAACATCTTTACCCGATAGCTTCCTGTAGACAGCTGAAAATGTCTCCAGCTTGTACTCGGTGTTGTTTCGTTCCTTTGGGTCCAAGAATACCTGGCGACAACAGCATTAAAACTATCAATAACAGCGGCAAGTTTACATAGAGAGGGAAAAAAGCAATCAACTATAACAACACAATCTCTTCAACCTTTGTAGAAATAATAGTTATCATTAATTTGATATTAACATGTCTCAGAAGCCATCATTTAAACTGCTCTTCAATATCACAAATTCTGATTTTACTTCTACAAGATTTTCCTACTAAGCATGAAACACAAACCGTTAGGCAACGAAACATTGTGCCATAAATTACCTTCATTATCTTGGATCCATCAACATGATACCTAACACGCTTTCCAACAATTTCAGCTGGTACAACCACGTCCTCCAATATGGCATCATGAACTGAAGTAAGAGTTCTGCTACGGGGCCGTTGAGCAGCAGAACCTCTCTTTGGAGGCCTCAATATTCTTTGGGTTGCAATGACAATTACATCCTAAAAGAAATAGCATTTCAGTACATTCAGAAAAATACCAGCAAGATACATTGTCATACCAAAAAATGGAAACAGAGAAGATGCCTATTACAAGTAGTGCACCTAAAACATAATCATATCAAGAAGGTGCAGCAGAGAGAGCACCTCGAGTAATATGAGTTGAAAAGGTATAAAGAGATAAAAGTGACAAAAATCAGCTTCCCAGTCTTAAGAAAGGTCTTATAAAAGAGCTGCACTTAAAGTTGTGCCTGAGTTGAATCTACTTCATGGTGCACTAAATGGGACCAACAACAGGAAGTCTACCACAGTTTATAGTTAATACAATAAATATCCAACACAAAACTGACTGAGAATGGTTTTAGTGATCACTACAAGTTTTGTTGTGTAATTTGCAGCATACATTAAGAAGGCCAACTATTAAAAATCTTAGTTTCATGAGCAATGATATAAAAGATTGGTCTCTAACTGCTATGCCTAGACAGATATATATAAATCAAAATAGCAGAAAGACAATGATCAAAAGCACGGGTGCAAATAAGTCCTCCAACAATAATGTCAAAAGGTAAAAATAAAAATTTCCCTCCTTTTGCCCAATAAAGAATGTTTTTGCCCCAATCACAGAAGATGAATCCATAGTAGAATCTTGAAGCACTGCCCCAGAATGAGAGGCTTAATATTTGACATCATTGCGCAGGACATTTAATTCCAAGTGAACATATTTGTCAATAACCATTTAATAATAAGATGTATTTTGTTCATTTCATATAAAAATATTATCAAACTCAATGGTCGAATATATCATGAGAAACTAGTAGGAGAAAAGTTCAAAAGGTACCTTCCCACTGAATTTCTTCTCCAGCTCCCTAACAAGGCGGACATGAATCCAGGGGCGGCTCAAACCCATTGGTGGCCTAAGGCCAAAATCAAACTAGAGGCCTTAAAAAAAATTATAAATGTTTTTATTTTAAATCTATTTTTCTAGCTTTTTGAGATGCAAAGTTGTTAATAATTTTTGTGTAGTCAATCTCTTCTAATAATTCCTTTTCAATCTATAATATAGCCAAACCACTTAATCTTTCTTGAGACATTGTCGATCTTAAATAAGATTTTATTATTTTTAATTTTGAAAAACTTCTTTCGGCTGAGGCGACTGTTATGGGAATTGTTAACATTATTCTATAAGCAATGTAAGCATTTGGAAAAGAATCAAGTCTTTTTATTTGATTGAGTATCTCAATTAGAGTATTGTCTTCTACTTTTATGATTTCCCTTAACACTTTTAATTCAAAAAATAAGTCTAAACCGTCAATATCGGAGTGAGTATTATGTTTTAAGGAACATTCAAGATTAAGACAATTTTTTTTAAATTCTCATCATCTAATGATCTCAATTTTTTCCCACTAAATAGAAAACCAAAAATATTTTCATATACTTCAAATTGTTCAAATCTATTTTGAAGTGAAAAGATGGCTTGGTCTACTATGTATAAGAAGTAATCAACTCTAAATGATTCTTCAAGAGATCTTGTGATTTCATTATCAACATTTTCATCAAATTGTTTTTTTCTATAAATTACACGTTTTTTACGAAATACAGGTTCAATATTCATCTCTAATGCAATTTCCTTAGCCGAAATCATAGCACTTGTAAATCCTTCTTCTCTATATGTTTTAAAAAAAGAAACTAAATCTCTTAATTGATCTATAGCGACATCAATATGCATATCTTTTGATTGTAAACTTTTGTTAATTGAATTTACAGCAAATAGTACATCATACCAAATAGTCATACCCAATAAAAATTCAAAATTTTCAAGCTCAAAAATTGCTAAACAATTAGCTTCACTTTTAATTTTTGGATCATCACTAACTTCTTCTAATTTAAATAAAGCATCTCTTATTTGTGGAGTTTGAAATCTTATTGCTTTAACACTTTCAATACGACTTTCCCACCGTGTTTGTGACAATGATTTAAGAGTTAAACTAGGTACACTATCTTTTAAAATTTTCCACCGCTTAGTAGACGAAGAAAATAGTGAATATATACGTTGTACCACTCCAAAGAATGATATAGCTTTCGTACAAGAATTAACCATATCACAAAGTACCAAATTTAGATTATGACAACCACATGGTGTATAAAATGATCTAGGATTTATATCAAGAAGTCTTTTTTGCACTCCTTGGTGTTTTCCCTTCATATTAGACCCATTATCATATCCTTGTCCTCTTAAATTATCAATATCAAGTCCAATACATTTTATTTCATCTAAAATAACTTCAAAAAGACCTTTTCCACTTGTATCATCCACTTTTAAGAATTCTAAGAAATATTCGGTTACATTTATTGGAGTTGTCGAAATATCTACACTCCGTATTATAAAAGACATTTGGTCTTGATGACTTGTATCTGGCGTGCAATCAAGTATGATAGAGAAATACTTTGTTTTTATAACTTTTTCAATAATCTTGTTCTTAATTTCACTTGCCAATAAATTTATTAATTCATTTTGAATATTATGTCCAAGATAATGATTATGAATTTCATCATGTTTGATTCGTCGAATATGTTCTTGCATAATTGGATCAAATTCTGCAATCATTTCAATAAGACTCAAGAAATTTCCGTTATTTTCTTGATAGATTTTTTCATTTTTCCCCCTAAATGCCAAATTATTTCTTCCAAGAGTTTTTATGACGGAAATAATTCTTGACAATACATTTTTCCAATGTTCTCTATCTCTATTAATTTGGTCTTGAATGTTTTTTATCGATTGTTTTATTATTACGCAATCTAAATTCTAAATCAATCCATGAACTCATATTAATAATATGTTGGCTAGTTGTTTCATGGGTTCTAAGCTTAGTAGTAAGATTTTTCCAATCTCTACTACCTTTATTAGCTAACTTATTATTCTTTGCATTAAAGGTCGTATTAAATAACTTACAACAAAAACAAAATACCTTATTCAAATCTTTGGAATAAACTAACCATCTTCTTTCATGTCTTTCTCCATTTGTCAACTTTTGAAAATAATATGTAGTAGAAAAGTGCCTTAAAAATTTATCCTTTGGAAAACATGTGTTGGTAATTCTAATTGGTCCCTTTTCTACTAATAAGTCTCTTGACTTTGTATCAACAATATTCCATTGACTAGGATCATAGATATTTTTAGGAGTATGATTATTTAATTCATTTATAAGTTCTTGATTTTCTTGGGAATCTACATCCGACTTTTCACTAATTTCCTCTCCTTCTTCTTTTTTTTGGTTTATATCATTATCTAACTCAACTTCAACTAAGTTTGTAACTTGTTCTTCTAAAGAGCATTCCCCTACCTTTTTTGATTTAATTTTATCATTGTTTTCCAAAAATTTATCAAGAGCACCTTTTTGAGATTTTATCAAGTTGTCGACTTTTCTTTTTCTTTTAAGTTTTGAATGACCGGATTCATATTTTCTAGTTGACATATTAAAATCTAACAAATATTTTAAACACTATTTACAATATCAAATAAAAAATATAATAAACATAAGACACAAAACAAAAATAATATTAGAAATTAGAATGATATTACCAAATTCAAAAGCTATGAAGACTTGATTTCCGAAAATGAATCGGGCTGCTGCAATATAGTTTTCTCCAAATTTAAAATATAAATTATCAATAGAACAAGTAAATTTTTCTTAGCTTTATAAGAGAGAGATGTAAGATTAGAAAATAGAAAGTGAGAAGAAATAGAAGGGAGGAGAATAGAATATATAAAAATAAAATTAGAAAACAAAATAAGGTAAAAAAAAAGAAGATAACTTGTAAGTTAAAAAAAAGTACACAACTTTTCAACTTTTTATGGGAAAGTTAAAAAGTCATGGTCATATCTATGACCATCACTTCATTTAGCCGTTTACACTATTGACTTATTAGCTCTAACAATTTTATTTTTTTAAAATTTAATCTTTCCTAATTAACTAAAAAATGGGGCCTTTGCATTTATTGTCTTAGTTCTAATTTTTTTTTTAATTTAATCCTACCTAATTAACTAAAAAATGAGGCCCCCTAAAATTGGGGGCCTAAGGCCAAGGACTTTTTTACATGCCTTGCCAGCCGCCCCTGCATGAATCTTGCGGAAAGCTTTTCTCGGCCTGTAGGGGACATGGATAACAACAGCCTTCCTGTTTCCTGACACGTCAATTTGTCTGCACAACAAAACCAATCACCACAAGGAGACATAAAATATACTTCCTCCATCTCATTTTATGTGGAACCCTTTCCTTTTTAATCTGTTCTCTTTTGTTAAAAGAACGTCACCTTACTATAATTAGAAACAATTTAAATTAAAAATTCATCCAAAATGATAAGAGCACACAAATATTTAAGGATTGTTTTAGATCACAAATTTCAAAAGTCTTTCTCTTCTTCTTCTTATCCACTATGTCAAGTCAAATGTTGTCACATACAATGAGACGTATAGAGTATTGATTAACCATAGTAGTAGGCAGTTTTGTCAATTCTTACAGTGCAGAATTGATGTACAGGTCCTTCAATTCGCTTTTCAGCTCTTGGTTAGTGTTTTCCATATCGAATAACGCCTGTTCAACAATCATTTTTGAGAAACTTTATATCAATACCAAATGAAGTCTTAAATAACCAGTATCATAATATGAAGAAAAAAACATAACCTGCGCAACAGACTCCTCAAATTCAGTAGGTTCAGCATCCTTATCTTTGTGAATCTTTTGCCTTGAAGTGTACATCTTCACAGGCCTGATAATCCAAACAATTTAACCAACCAATCAATCAATCAATTAGGGTCGCCTATATTAATCATTTCAACTAGCATTTAATCTAATTCAGCTGATTAACAAAACAGAAACGAAAACTACTAGTGCCGCTAAACTATGTATTATTTCCTTCAAGACAATTTGGAGAAGAGTACCTGTAAGAGAAAGGTAGTAACGGTAAACCCTAGCTATGCTTAGTTTCAGAGATGAAGAGAAACCCTACGATTTGGAGGGACGAATGAACGGAGTGAATGGGCTTCAATTTGGGTCATTTGTCATCTTGAATTGGTTGGGCTGTAACCCCAATTATGGCGGCACTAGGATTTTGGGTTAAGTTTATATAAATGGCCTTTATAAGAGCTGATGTTGATATTTTGTACCTTATAAGAAAAAAATATTATAAAAATAAATTTTAACTATTTGATTATAATTTTTTGAAAAAAAAAATATCTCTCCTAATCTATAGACATTGGCTACTTACACGGTGATGTTTTTTCTTAAATCAGAGGGCGATTCGATTTAACGGTGAGGAATTGTTGAGGTTCAAATCCTCAACTTCAATTCTCATAATCGCAACTCAATGGAAGGTAACATTCTCCTTATTTTCTTTTTCCTTCTTTGATTTTATATATGATTTGTTTTGTTTAAATTATCATTGATTTTTTGTGTGTTAATGTTTGTTTATGATTTGTAGATTGTTACTGTAACTCTTTTCCTGAATAGACGTGCATATTTTGAGCATGGTGGTCGTGCTTTGCACAGTCCAATTTAAAATTATTTCATAAGAAAACTAATTGCAAATAGCTTTTGAGGTGTGATGGCTGGCTCGTTACTACTCTTCTTGTTAGCTTACATGCTTATGATGGTGGTGTTCCTCCTTGTGTTGTTGCTTGTGGTTTAACCTTTTTTCTTGAATTTTAGCTGAGTTTATAGCCACGAGTGTGGATTACAAAGTTAAGTTCCCTATGTGCATGTAACAAATCATTTTGTCGTTGCTCGAAAAGTGTGATGAAAATTTAGACATTTTAAAATTTATATCTTTATAGAAATTATTTAGTGGCCATCAAGTCAAACTTGACTTGTCAACTATATTTGCTATAGTGAAGGAGTTTCACTATAGCAAAGGCCTGCCAAAATAAAATTTTATTTTATTTCTTACGTGAATTTTTAGTGTTTTGTATAATATTTTCGTTGGGACTTATTCTAAGAGCACCCATTAGTTTATTTTGAGGAAAAAAGTCCTAGGTGAGAAGGGAGAGAAAATTCTTTTTGCAAAGACTAACCAAAGTCTTCATCTGAGTTCTTCACTATGTTATCGAACCACCAAACAAAAGCGGAATTGTATGATAATTGAGGCTTAAAACTCACCTTCAAGGTAGGTCATGATTTACTTATCTTTTAGACTTGATTAGTACGCTCTACCTTGCATAGTATATTAAACCTATGAACATGAAAATTAAGATATTGACCTTAAAAATAGCCTAAGTCAGGTATTATAGCTTGTTGCAATTATTATATATTATTAATTTTATTATTAAACTTTAAAATAATAATATTAAATGAGATGTTTGAAAAATTACATAAAATTTAAATATCATAATCAATTGAGAAATTAATAAAAAGCAGTCTATTTGTATTGATTATGATAAATTGATAATAGTGATAGTCATGTTATACTTGATAACAGGAGATGACAATGAAACAATTATTAATGATCTTGATACTTTAAGTAAGTAGAACAAAAATATCGTAAACTTAAAAATTCATTATATGTTGCATAAAGCAAGAAGATAGTCTATAATGAGAATTAAGGAGGTGTTGATAGTTATGAGGTTGATAAAAACAAGTAATTAATCCTACAATAATTATTGAGTCAGTAATTTGATGGAGTTCTATGAAGTAGGTTATGATTTATTTGGAGTTAGATTTTGCGTAATTTTTTGATATGTAATGTGAGTGGTATTGCATGTTGGTTTGTCTTCGGATATATTTGATGTTTCTTTATGATTAAACTAAATGTTATTTGTAGGGCTGGACATTCAATAGTTTAGTTTGGTTTCTTTTTCGATTTTCGGTTTGTGTAATAAGTGTACCGAACATCGAACCGAAATAATTCGATTCGATTCAGTTTATGTTATTTCGATTCGGATTTTGTTAGTTTGGTTTATTAATTTCACAATTCACATGACACTACCTAATAACAAAAGCGAAAATCAGAAAGAAAGAAAAAGAAAACAGAAGAAGAAATCTTGAAAACAAAAAATAATCCCTGGTCACCGCCTCGCCGGTCAGTTGCTGTTGGTCGGCTACTTCTGGATTCTGGTCGCGACAGTCAGTGCCTCGAAGTCGCTGGTCGGCGCCGGGAAGTGGGAAGGGGGAAAGTGGGACTGGGACGTGTGGCACCGGCGATGGGAGACGGAGTTTGAACTTTGAAAATTGAATGTGTACTGGCGACGGGAAGTGGGATTGGGACGTGCACAGTGCACTGTGCAGATGGAAAACTGAAAATTCAAAAATTTGAAAAGTCTTTCACCTAATTTTCCATTTTGCATATAATATTTAATATTAATAATTAATATAATAATAATATATATTATAATATAATATATTTCGGTTAAACCGAAATATCAAAATATACAAAAATCACATACCAAAAACCGAATCAAAATATCGAAAATATGAAAATATATATCAAAAACCGAATCGAAAACTGAAATACCAAAATTGAAATACTGGAAAAATTCTATTCAGTTCGATATTTCGGTATTTATGCTCAGCCCTAGTTATTTGTATGAATAAGCATGTAATTATTGAATTGTGTACCTTGATGATGTTATGAATTATGAACCAGTGATTATTATATATTTGGTGGGTTATCCTGAGAGGTAACTAGAGTTGTTGGCATATTAAAATAGGTGGATACGGTAAAAATACATTTACTACTCAGATGATGAGTGGTTCAAGTCTGATGTGAGCTTATGAATGAGAGATTATATGTGCTATTGGATCAAATACCACATCGATACAATACATGAACTCCTAGGATTCTCTGTAGGCCATGACTAGATGAACAAGATTAAGATCTTTTAGCATATGTGTACATATGAGAATGAGATTGATGATTATAGAAAAAGAGTATCAGTGAATCTGCTGATGCAACAAGTATATAATTGTAAGGTCAGAATGAGTATGATTTTTCGTAGTTATTTATTTGTCCATATGTGACCAGTTGTTGATGACTTAATTGTTGTTGATGATTTTGTTGATAATACTATTTGATTGGATGCCAGAAAAGATGTATGATTATATAAATATTGATTATTTATTTCTATTCATCGGTTTAGGATAGTTTTCTTCAGTTTTTCATCAAATTCTTCTGTAAAGATAAGTTAATTATTTTCTCCAACTTGTATTTTGATTTTGATTCTTAGAATCTAGGTTGTTAATCTTGGGGAAGGAATTTTAACTTGAATTAATGGTGGAAGGAACCCTTAATGGAAGAATAATCATAGGCATGACCTGGGGATAGGATTTGATTATAATTCGAACATAAGTAGGTCATTTTTGATTGATTATTGTATTTGTTATTATTATTATTTAGACAAGAAAAAATTTCAATTCTTTAGAGTTTCCAAGGCTTGATTCGAGCTAGGTGATAATTTTTTTTTGTATATGGTATAGGTGTTTGTTAACAATATCGTTAGTAATGCATGCAATGATATATGATTAGATAGAGGGAAAGAAATAATGTGAAATGTATGATGTTATCAATTACATGCAATGAATATGTTACATGAATGTACATGTCTGATTGTGATTCATTATGATTTTGATTGCGTTTGTGTGTTGATGATTGATATCGAGTGTCACGTCAACACATATTGTTGTTGGAAGTGGTACTAGTACACTAACTTTTGAAATAATTATCACGCCTGTAAAATTACATGAATACCACACTGATACATTAACTTGGAATCAGATACCACGCCAATAGATTAACAGTGTATCTGAGTGGATTCCATGAGAGGGCCAGCCTGACTTATTGTGTTGAGATGATTCATGTTGTTATGCATATTGATGGCGTACTATGTTGTACTTGGGTTATAATTGTGTATAATGTGCTTACTTAGTTGTGGTTGCCTATCAATATTTCATATATTGTAACTAGTCGATGATCCTATCACTACACTATGATTATGTACTGATACTACACTTGTTCTTTCTTTGTTGAATACAAAGTATCTTTAGGCGATTTCAACTATGAGATCTTCACTATCTGAATACAAAGGTGAGCCACTCCTCCAGACTGCTACAAATTCCTATTTCCTTCATAGTCTATTATTTGGACTCAGATATTTTAGACTTATGAAAATTCTTGCAATGGAGAATTCTCAGAAGAGGTACATTGAAAATGTTCTTAAGAGATTCAATATGCATATGAGATATCTCAAATGAGCTTTTGATATTGGCCTAATCGTTCAAAAAAGGAAGGTATTTTAGTTTTCGGTTATGTAGATTCTGACTATGCAGGGGATCTTGATAGAAGGAGGTCCACAACCAGATATATCTTTACTCTTGTTGGCAGTGCCGTTAGTTGGAAATCGACTCTAGAGTTGATTGTCGCTTTGTCTACAATAGAGGCAAAATATATGACGGTAATAGAGGCAGTGAAAGAAGCTATCTGGTTGAAAGATTTGGCGACAGAATTGAGTTTGGTTCAACTAGAATCAACTCTAAGATGTGAGTCAAAGTGCTATTCATCTGATTGAAAATTAAAGATTTTATGAGTGCCCCAAACACATTGATGTCAGATTCCATTTCATTTGAGATGTCGTTGAAGAGGGAGCTATAAAGGTCGAGAAGATTATCAAAGTCGATAACACTGCATACATGTTGACCAAGATAATTCCGCTTGCCAAGTTTGTACACTGCAAGGACTTGGCAGGAGTATGCATCAACTAATGCAACTCTAA